ATAAACACCCAGCACGCCCCTGCGGGCGGTTTATCCTTCAAGCTCGGGTCCTCTACCAGAGGCCTGGGAGCTTGGCCCAGATAAATGCCACACAGCAGACACATCTCTACATCAACTGTTCAAAGGAGACGATTATACAATTCAGGCATTTATGGTCAAATGAAACCTCTACCAAGGAAAAGCAACAAGCAGAAGAGATTTGTTGGCGCCAAGAAACACAAGGCATGGACATTAGACCAGTGGAAATCTGTGCTTTGGTCTGATGAGTCCAAATTTGAGCTCTTTGGTTCCACCAGCGGTGTCTTTGTGCGACACAGAAAAGGTGAGTGGATATTCTCTACATGCATGATTCAAACAGTGAAGAACGGAGGAGGTGTTTTGGTGTGGGGGGTGCTTTGCTGGTGACACTGTTGGGGATTTATTCAAAACTGAAGGCACACTGAACCAGCATGGCTACCACAGCATCCTACAGCAACATGCCATCCCATCCAGTTTGTGTTTAGTTGGACCGTCATTTATTTTCCAATAGCAAAGTGACCCCAAACACACCTCCAGGCTGTGTAAGGGCTGTTTGACCAAGAAGGCGAGTGATGGAGTGCTGCGCCTGATGGCCTGGCCTCCACAGTCACAGTCGTCTGAAAACGCTCCACGTCCACACTACCGTTTTCAGTCGTTTTCACAGAGTTGTGCGTCCACATTGAAACGCCTGAAAACGCTCACGTTCCAGTACTGTGCATGCGTGAAACGCAAGACGATTCGGCCTGCCTCATTTCTGTCAGCCATTTATTTACTTAACAGCTCTTTGAAACATCGTGCCAAAATGTCAAAGAAAAGCACCGAGTTTTTTACTTGGGCTAACAATGAGGTGGAGTTGTTGCTGCGAGTAACACAAAAGTACAAAGTTGCAAAAGCGAGTGAGAATTAAAGAATTTGAAGAAAAGCTATCTGGCGCATGTACAAAACTGACATTAATCTTTAAGGCTGTCAAAATTGAGAGCAAACAAAACAACTGCTGTGTAATGCCCTCCACTATCTTTATTTAATTGGTCACTTAACTGCATCACATGAAGTGCTGTAGTGACTTCAGTTAGCACTAGCTTGTGACTCCTTGAAGCTGGATTTGTGTGTACTACCAGTTTCAAGCAGAGATCTTTCTCGTGTAAGTTAAATGTGTTAACCACTACATAAAGTTCTCACTAGTCTTTTGACTCTAATAGGGGGACAAAATCTGCTTCATGTTGCTTTCAATAACTATCGACTGTTATCAGTCAGTAAAGTGTTCGCTGAGGTCACAGGAGGGTAATTCTAGACTTCAATAGAATCACACACAAAAAGAGGAGTTGCCCTCTGGCAGCCATTAGAAAGAATGCAGGATAAAGGCACTTGGCACTGAATTTAACACCTCCACCAAGCCTGAAATGGAATGAAAGAACAGTTGTCAAGGTAACAACCACACACATGCACATACATAAAAGAAATTGCTGGATTTATCAGATGGTATTGGGAGCATTATTTGGCAATGGAAAAAAGATTGCCCACACAAGAAGGTACAACAAGGTAAACAAAACAATCTACAATGCTTCAGATAACTTTTTATTGTGAATTCAAAAAATCAGGGAGCAAACAACCTTCCTGGGTAGGCATGTTAGAGTATTATTATAAACTCAGAATGAAAGCAGGTAGGTGAGCCAGAATCTGTCTGAAGAGTTTAAAGGTCGATTAATGACATGAAATGTAGACAAGATTAGAATTTACAGTCATTTGCTCTTCTTGATGTTGTAGCTCTACTCCTGCAGGGTGCTTTTGGAAATGAAGTGTAGTCCTTCCTCTTTCAGCCGGGCCAGCACTGGTTCGTAGATCTCTTTCACCATTGGAACCACCAGACCCTTTGTATTGATTTCACCTACAAAGTAAGTATAGAGAGCCGGTAACATTATATTCTCAAGTATTTATCTAATATTCAGTGAATGAGGTTGGTGACTAAATTTAGTTTGAACATAGTTTGAATGCTCTCTGTAAAGTGAAAGACCAACGAAAATGAACATTTTTGAAAAGTGAAATCACTAACCGTTAAGAACCATCCGAGCAGCAATGGCTGCTGGGTATCCAACAGTCTTGGCCATGGCTGAGAAGCCGGTGGGGTCGCCATACACCACCAGGCTGATGTGTTTGGTCTCTAGTTCTCCAGTTGGATAGCGAACCCCCACATCGTTTCTCAGAATGATCATGTCTCTTTCTCCCTTATCTGATGACAAGAGGCAATAGTTCTTTTTACACTTGGGTCACATTTAATACTCCTGTTCTTCTAATGTGGTATTAATGAGCTCACCAAATGAAAGTTTAGTTTCCAAATGTTTTGCAAGGGCAGCCAAAATGCTCTCTGCATGGGGCACTAGCTCATCGCCAAGCATCCCTAAGCTGCAGAAATAAAAAAATGGTTATTAAAATAACATAACCGTTACAAAACAATACTTAGGGCTCGAAAGATAATTACTCTGCCCTAATAACCCTACACACTGCAGCGGCAGCCCACGTGTCCTTGGCTACATCTAAAGAGATGAGCATTTGCTTTTTGTGGCTGGGTTGCTGGTGAATTGAATAAATGAACAACAAGTCTTTCAATGTGAGCTGCAAGCGCCTTGCTTTTTACCCTTTAACAACACAGATGGAATGTTTCCAACAGTTCACTTTACCATCAGAGGAATTTACATTTCAATGCCAGTGTGACCCTCTTGCATTCACTGCCAGAACTGTGAGAACAATGACTGCATGAAGCCTTGGTCTGAAGAGACCCTTGGAAAAGCTAATTTAAACTGATGATTGTGCATACTACACCACTTCAGGTGTACTTGTTAGGCAGGCAGTAATAAGTGTGTAGAAGATGCATAGCCTTGCTCTTGGGGCGCTGTGTATAGGGACAACGCAAACTCAGAAGAGCAGTATCAATCACAAAAGAATATACCAGATATTTGGATGTCTGCTAAAGTAGTACAGGATTCCACCAAATGACAAAACAATTAAAATTATTTCAGGCTTCATTTCATCTTTATACTTTTGATAATCACTTTCTGACTTGATAAGGACGAGACTCTTCTGAAAGGTGCCAATTCTCACACACTGACAATATGATACAAGCTTTTACCTTCACATGGTTTCAGACTGGCCAAATATATTGAATAAGGGGAGTTTTAACATTGCATTTAGCTTCAGTGTAAACCATAAATGGTTTAAACCAGTGGTCCCCAACCCCCAGGCCACGGATCGGTACTGGTCCGTGTACTGTTTGGTACTGGGCTGTGAGAATTTAGGCTCGGGTGTGAAATTTATGGCTGTCAGGATTTTTATTGTTAACTCTGTTTCCCTGGGTCTTTTCCCGTGTTGTAGTTATAGGTCTTATTTTGAAATAAATATTTACGCATTACCATAGCAACTAGAGAGCATTAAGGGGCAGAGAGGAGGATGTGACTCTCAGTGTTGTTGGCGCATTTCAGTAGGACGCTGCTAATAAAGTTACACAACTAGTTATTATATTTACAAAGTACCACAGTTCGTCGCATCATTTTATTTTGTTGTATTTATCGCGACACCTTAGTGGCCGGTCCATGAAAATATTGTCTGGCATTAAACTGTGGCGCAAAAAAAGGTTGAGGACCGCTGGTATAAACAATAAAAGGCGCTGTGACATCACTCACTGGTTTATGAAGTACTGTTTTAAAGCCTCCCTCATCTTCGTGTTTTGAAACCATATGTAATGAGTGAGTGATAGATCTGCCTGTGAAACTGCTAGTTATTTGCCAGTGTGCATACACTAGATACGAGGCTCAAAATGAACAAAATTTACAAAACTATTCATTTTAACCCCAAATGACTGACTGACCCATAAATTAATCCGTGAAATGTTGTGTACAGAGGCCAGGCCCAAGTGCAGTTTTCTTATTGTGTCCTACTGGACAGGCCTGTTTTTGCAAACACAGGACAGATCCTTGTTGTCATTAGACTTTTTAATTAGATTATAAGGCCACTGGACTCAGTAGTATATAGAGCCTAATCCTGGTTTGAAAAAAATATTAACATACATGGCAGCCATTCTCAGGTTCAAGAGTCTTGACATCCCTCACATTTTTATTCTACTGTTCCCTTTCCCCCATGTCTATTAATCAGAAAGGCTTGAAAGTGAAAAGTGATTTAGTTTCTGAGATATCTGAAGACTTTTTTTAAAGGACCCATGGACACTATGAGAGAGATGGTACCAAAAGGAAATTTGTTAAAATCTTGAAAACACAATAGGAGAGAGACAGCTTAGCTTTAGTTGACTAAAAGAAGCTCTTTTTTTTTACTTCAGGGTGGCTTCTCACCATCTCAGAGTGTCCATCCTGAAGTCATCCTGCCCTGTGTGTTCATATACAGCTTGTTCAAAGACATTTTGGGAAACAGAAGAAGATAAATCCATCTGCTGACAGAGGAGTTCTTTCTGTAGAAAGAAGAGAAACAAGTCACTGCATTGCATTAATGAATCATGAGACTTCAGGGCTACATTTTGTAGGTGGGCTGCTATTTATTTGGTTCTCTTTGCATTGTCTTTTCAGATAAAAAGTTCTGAGTGTTTTCAGAGAAAACCCTTGTTACATCAATCATCATCAACCAGCTTTTGATTTCTGATAAACACAACCCAAACACGGAGCACTAAGGCTGCTTTTTCTTGTCGAACAGATAGCAGATGACAAATATTGTCTGCTGTATACTCTCATCAATGCCAGAGTGCCCCAGCTCACTGCAGCCTTGATGCTAATAAACAGCAACTGTAATAGGCTCTACTGTCACAGTCAAGAGCTTCAAAGCAGCTTGTTACATTAAACTGAATGACAGAAAGAAGCAGGGTGCACTGTTAACTGACTATTTTCCGCCCACATCTTTGGATGCTTTTGAACACTAAAAGAGGTTCTTACCCATGAAACTGGTGATGACGTGTGCTGCAGGATGGGACTGGGATCGCTGTTGATTAGACCCAGTTTAATGAAACCACTCATGGCCTTCGAGAAACCCTGAGTAACAGGACAAGAACGGAGGTGACCAAAATATGTTAAAATAAATTGGGTTTCAGGTTTAATCAGGGGATTATGTTACACGGAAGGAAAAGGTTTTAAATATTTTGCTGAGTGCTGGATATTTGCAAAGTTACGTGGACACAGAAAAATGTCTATTTTGCGCACCTCAAGATCACAGTGATACCATTGCTGTGCACTGATTGGCCACGCTGACGATTAATGTAGGACTTGTACTTCTGTAGTACAAATTAAGTTTAAAGCTCATTTTGTACCACTGCCAAATCTGTAGTGAGATTTAATGTTCTGGGCACTTATTACTGATGTGGCTTTGTTTGGTTAGTGTTAACTGATAACTCCATCCTCGTGTCTTAATATGGTCACTCCTGTCTTCAAAAACTAACATGGTAGGTGCCAAAATGCTAACACTGAGGTGTCAAAATGGGCAGTCCAAAACCCATGCATTTCAGAGACTATTTATGCATTTTATAATCAAAGATGATTATAATTTCAATATTAGATTATTACAGATTATAATTATAATCTAATATTGAATTTAATTATTTCTTAAGCATAATAAATTCTGTATAGCAGTTGTATTTGTATGTGCAGTTTGTCTATGTGTGTTGTACCTTAAAACGCAGAGTTCCTCTGATGAGCGTGTGTGCTGTCTGGATGCCGTATGGCTCAGCGTATTTCGTGCTGTCACGATTCGGAAATCCCTCAAGGTTGAAACCTGGAAAGAAATCCATTGGAGTGGTGGAATCCATCAGAGAGCCACCAGGTGGGACATTTATCACCTTAAAGAAAGACAAAAAAATCTTATCTTTACTGAAAGTAAATAATAATAAAAAAAAACATATTAACAATTTATGGTCTTTTGAGACATCCATACCTGGTTGTCTTTGAGAAAAATAGCGGGACTGATAGTGTTGAGGAGGACACCATATGGGCTCCAGCTGAACTTGTAACGAAGAGGATTGTCTGAGCACTCAGGAGCAGGAAGACCACCACAGAATGAGCTGTAGGACTCCACCTAAAATGTATTCAATGCATAAAGAATGATCAGACAGCTACACAAAAATGCAGCTAAAGCTACTGTTGATATGCAGAAAGTACTTAAAATATCTAGTAGCTGGTATATGTTAGAGTGACCAAACGGAAGCCACTACTCAGTAAAATGCACAAGGGCCCATCTTGAGTTTGCCAAAAGGCACCTGAAGGACTCTGACCATTAGAGGCAAAATGTTCTGGCCTAATGAAACAAAGATTTAACTCTTTGGTCTGAATGCTAAGCTTCATGTCTGTTGGAAAATGTGAATTTAATATTTTTTTGAATAAGGCTGTAACATGACAAAATATCAAATACGTAAAGCACTGTAAATACTATCTGGATGCACTAAAGTGTATTTATAATGATACCAACAAATGTAATTTTTTACAGAAATGTCTAACAAAATTGTCCAAGCAAGGAATAGTTGTTAACCAGCAACCAGGTCACTGGCAGCCAAGGATCACTGATACACATCAGGAGAGAAGGCTGGCCCATTTAGTTTGATTCAACAGACGAGCTACTTCAGCTCAAATTGCTGAAAAACGTACTGCTGATTAGAAAGGTGTCAGAATACAAAGTACATCACAGTTTGTTGCATATGGAGATGCATTATTTCCAACAATGGGCACCCGAGCATCAGAACTGGACAATAGTGAAACTGAATAATGAAAGACAGTGGCCTTGTCTGATGAATTGCATTTTCTTTTACATTATGTGGCTGGCCGGGTACATTGTTTACCTTGGCAACACCTGGCACTAAGATGCATATGGGAAGAAGACAAGACATGGGAGCAGTGAGATGTTTTGGGCAATGTTCTGCTGGGAAACCATGGGTCTTGCCATCCATGAGGATGTTACTTTGAAACGTACCACCTACCTAAGCATAGTTGCAGATCATGTACACCCTCTAACCAAAACAATATTCCTTAATAGCTGTAGCCTTTTTGGAGCAGGATTGGTTTAAGGAGGACAAGAACGAGTTTGACCCTAACCCTAACTCTCAACCTAATCAAGCTTAATAATCTGTGGCATATGCTGGACAAACAAGTCCTATTTATTCATATTTTTTAATACATTATATTATTTATATATCATAACAGTTGCCTTAAGGTGCTTTATATTGTAAAGAAGCTACAATTATGCAGAGAGAACCCCAACAATCAGATGAAACCCTATTAGCAAGTACTTGGCAGCAGTAGGAAGAAAAAACTTTATATTAACTGGAAGAAACCTCCAGCAGAACTAGGCTCAAGGAGGGTCTAGCCATCTGCCATGACCAGTTGGGATTTAAGGGAGTGAGACAAGACAAAAGACACGCTGTGGAAAGGAGCAAGAGATTAATAATAAGTAGTGATTAAAGGCAAAGTGGTGAATAAACACAGCGAGTGAAGAAGAAATAATGTTATGCCTGATCAGTGTACCAAGTAATCCCTGTGATCTAATAGTTCAGGCTTTAATCTGATCCAAATATTCAGCTTCTAGTTTTTTGCATTTTTGGTCTTTGTGATGTTAAAGAGAGAGGATATTCTGACAGAGCTATCTCAAGCAAATGGCTATCTGTAAGCGAAGAAACCCAACCTACCTGCTCTTCAGTGCGTTTTTGTAATAGGAGTTGCCAATCAAAAGCAGTGTTGGGCAAGTTACTTTGAAAAAGTAATTAATCATAGTTACTAGTTACTTCTTCAAAAAAAGTAACTGAGTTACAAGATTCTAAAAGTAATTAATTATTTGAAAAGTAACTACTGCGTTACTTAAAAAAAAAGTTTAAGCCTCTGGGGTCCAAGGGTATAATTGGCCATTTTAAACTACTTTTGATGTTTCCTCTATATTACACCTTTAAAAACTATTTATTTTGCCTTGTTTGGTCTCATCCTTTTCAGCACAACCTCACGTGTCTGAATTTATTTACAGAACAATCAGCTCTTCTGCATTCAATAATATGCCACACAAATTATTTGTGCCACTCCAAATATTTCTGTCCACTATAAAGGAGAACATCACAGCCTGATACCTGCAGGTCTGACAGCAGCAGGTGTATCACTCCTTTTTCTACCTGGAGACAGCAGGTTCATTGTTCTGACACACAACACAAAACTATCCACAACACTACACACTAACTACACAAGACAACACATTAACTACACACTGTAATATAGTTCACAAATACAAACATGAAACTGAAAATGAGTATAATAGGTCCACTCTAAAGGAGTAATAGTAGGTAGACAATTTTCAATTAGAGAATATTTTTTTCCTATGGTCTCTGAATTCAGCAGCACCCAAACATGCAGGCAATGTGAAACTGTGTGATCCATAATTGGTTAGTTTATGCTTAAAGAAAATCATGCGTGGAAACAAACCTGACAAATCAGTGCTTACAGAAAAACCATTGGATTCAGCTTCCACTGTATGCTGACTGACTGAATGATTGCATGAATAAGCAGGTCTACAGCTGTTCTTAATAAAATTAGTGACAATTGTATTTACGTATCTGTCAAAGTCTGATCAGGTTAACCACTTGATATGACAGAAGCTGGCATGAATCATTAATCTTGAGTTATGTCTAGTTTTAAAGTGTTCAGTCTGTCAGAACAATATTGGGTTCAATTTGTTTGTTTACATTACTAGTTTCTAAGAAAAAAACAAAAACAAATTCCAGTTCAAAAACTCCACATTAGCCTGTGTCTGTCTGCTTGAACTGGAACCTGTGTGAAACTCAGCATGTGTTAAACATAAAACTTTTCATGTTGAGCCATAGTGTGACTGTCCATGTGTGTTTGAACACTGTTTATATGGCACACATACAGGTGCCAGATTTTCTATCTCAGTGTTGCAATGTTCACTCACAGTGCAGCTTTCAGCTTTGGCTTTGTTGATACACTCCATGGCCAACATGTGGTCGATGCCTGGGTCCAGTCCCATCTCATTCACGATCGTGATCCCTGCTTCTTCTGCACTAATACACACAAATGCATTCAACATGTAAATATGCATTTTCACTTTTCATGACTATATTTCTTAATAATATTAGGGGGGATCTTTTCTGTTTTATTTTATTCTATTTTTGCTATGCATTTCACTTTCTTATCAAAAGAAAAATAAGAAAATTTCATTATAAAATTCAAAGTTTAAACTTTAAAGTCACAGCTTTTTATCTCATGACCTTCAAACATTTAGCCAGTGCAATAATTATGTGACACAATAACAAGAAACTAACTAACATTTGCCTATACATTTGTGCATCCCAAATCCTATGCATATGTTTTGCAATAATTTATTAATACTGCTGAGGATGATGTGCACAGATAGGAAAATAATAGAGAAACATTTATTGAAAGTAATCCTGAATTCCTAACAGACTTCTGTGGACTTGATCATTACCTGCTCTGCAACGCCTTCATGGCAGGACTAAGGTAGCTGGCTGTCACCATGTTCACCTTCCTCTTTATACAGTGTTTGGCGATAAGCGAATGGAACGAGTAAGGCAGCAAGCTGAGGAGAAGATGAAGAGGTTGACTTAAGTATAAGCAGACTGATATTTTAATCTAATAATGTAATGTTAAATTGTAAAACAGTCCAAAAATAACTGGGCTCCATTAAATTACTTTGGAGATGAAATGATAAAAAAATAAAAAAGAATTTGTTTTGTAGTAATACATATTGTGGTAAAGTATTCATCTGGAATAAATGAAATCATTACAACTTTACACATTACTTAATAATTGCCACCAATGTTATATCTGTCCTGCTGCTATACCTGATGACCAAGTCATGATCTCTGACCAGAGAGTCTAGGTGTCCCTCTTGGCTGCTGACATCCAGCATGACAGGGATGGTGTTGGGGTATTTGGCTGCCAGCTCCTCTGCCTGGCTCAATAGCATCGATGCTAAACGCAAACAAAGAAACAATAACCACTGTTACACATAATTTTCTGATCTTTGTCAACTTTCTCAGTTTCAGTTTTTTTTAAGACTTTAAGTAATGTACTCTTTACTGTGTGCTTATAACTGTTAATGTAAGCCACTCAGCTGGACTCAGCTGGAAGTTTGTGGTGTCTTTGTAATCTAGGCCAATTTAATGCAATTATCAATGAATATTGTGGCTCAGGGTTTCATTTATATGTTAGCTCAGTTAACGTGATGCACTGTGCTACCCAAGCTACCCAGAATATATCCATCTTCTAGATATAGTCAAGGGCACTCATTATTATAATAATAACACCAAGATACCTAAAGTCCTAAGTTGGACAAGAACCCCAATGGTAAGATTTACACTTTAAGGGTAGTGTTAGAAGTGTTTTATCACTTTTACTAGAGATGAAACAATATGATCTATGATAAATAATAATAATAATAATAAATTTTATTTATGAGCGCCTTTCAAGTCACCCAAGGACACTTTACAATAGGATAAAACACTTAGTAAAACAATGGCAGAATAAGAACAATAAAATAAAGCACAAGATAAAATGAACAAACAGTGGATTCACAGTGAATATGCAGATTTGAACAGATGAGTTTTGAGTTGGGATTTAAACTGGGGGAGAGAACCAATATTTCTTATTTCAGGGGGCAGAGAGTTCCACAGCCTGGGAGCAGAGCAGCTGAAAGCTCTGCTTCCCATGGTGGTGAGGCGGAAGGAAGGTACAGTAAGCTGGACAGAAGAAGAAGAACGAAGTGAACGGGCAGAACAAGTGGTGGTTAACAGGTCAGAAAGGTAAGAAGGAGCGAGGTTATGAAGGGCCTTGAAGGTGAGCAGAAGAAGTTTGAAAATTATCCGGAATTTCACAGGGAGCCAGTGAAGTTCCTGAAGAACAGGGGTGATGTGCTGGTAGGAGGGGGTTCTGGTGATAATGCGAGCAGCAGAGTTCTGAACCAGTTGAAGCTTATGGAGGGATTTTTGGGGGAGACCATGCAGAAGAGAATTGCAGTAGTCAATACGGGAGGTAACAAGACTATGTACAAGAATGGACGTAGACTGGGTGGAAAGAGAAGGAAGCAATCTGTTAATGTTACGTAGATGGAAGTAGGCAGAACGGGTGAGGTTATTGATGTGTGATTTATAAGAAAGTGTACTGTCTAGGATGACACCAAGGCTCTTAACCTGAGGAGAAGGGAGAACTGTGGAGTTATCGATGGTGAGTGAGAAATGGTTTGCCTTCAAAAGGTTGGATTTGGTGCCAATAAGGAGGATCTCAGTTTTATCCTCATTGAGCTTTAGAAAATTAGAGGTAAACCAGGATTTTAACTCGGATAGACATTCTGTAAGGGAAGAAGGTGGGAGGGAGGAATCAGGTTTGCAAGAGAGATATAACTGGGTGTCATCAGCAAAACAGTGAAACTGAAGATCAAATTTGCGGAAGATGGTACCTAGAGGGAGGATGTATATTATAAAGAGAAGAGGGCCTAAAACTGAGCCTTGGGGTACACCAGAGGTGACGGGGAATAGACGAGAGCGGAATGATCTTAGTTGAATAAACTGGGAGCGGTCGAGGAGATATGATTGAAACCAGATGAGGGGTGTGTCAGAGATAAACTATCTAAGTGAACTTCCTCAGGCTAAAGGAATAAGTCACAGTTAATCTTCTTAAAGATGAAAATATTTAAAATAGCAATGAAAGTCCTCTGACTCTCAGTCAAACTGCAGAAGTAAGTCTTCTTGGGGTCCAACATGGCAACAGAAATCTAACAGGCTAACCAGCATTAAGGTTGACACCAGTATACTGATGCAATGCAAGGGAAAACATGGTCAGTCAGTAACCTGCACTGCTTACAGTTACCCTTTGGCAGAGTTGAGTAAACACTGACTAACACTGTTCAAGGTTGTGATGTGTCCATTAGATGGGGTATACAAATCACTCACTCCTCATAATACTTTCAAAGAGACCAAACTAACCCTTAATAAAAATATTAAACATTGACCTTTGGTTTCATTATTTATCTGAAAATGATAAACTTGACAATAAAGACTGACATGAATTTTAATCCCACAAAAGCCCAGAACATTTCAGTCTTAATAAAGTTTAACAGGCAAACTCACCCACAGTGACCTGGGTGCCCTGATCACGGGTCAGATACTCCACAACAGGTCCAGACACATATCCTGAACCCAACAGCAGAACTCGCTTCATGCCGGCCTTCTTCATGATCTGAGTTTTCTCCCTTAAGAACATCAGACAGGCTGGGTTATTATGGTAAAGCATGACAACATTTCAATTTCTGAGCCTCCAAGTGGGAAAGTTACATACTGAACTCCACAGATTTGAGTTCAGTACCTAAAACTAGAGATGGCACGATACCACTTTTTTATGTCCGATACCGATATCATAAATTTTGATATCTGCCGATACCGATATGAATCCGATATAGTGTTTTTTAATCAATAAAACTGTTTTTTTAATATCTTGCTGCATTTTGTATAAGTTCATACTCAAGTTTAAATAAACAACAACACTAAAGCTATTCTGTTATACCTGTATGTAAAAAATACACTGCACCCAAAATATTTCATAGTTCAGCAATACTGATCAATCTAATAAACTTAAACCTACTCCATCCTTCCTATTCTGGTATTTTAAAGAGTACTTAGCAGAAATATTAAGCAACCTAACTAATAGGGTTGCAAACTCCCAGCAAAAAAAAAAAAATAGGGAACCACCCCCCACCCTCCACCTCATGATGCTTAATCGACGTAATCAACTTTAATTTGATGCAGTGTGGAAAAAATGCACAGAAATAAATTATTTTTCAAGAATAATTAAATAGATTCAACATCTTTCTTCAACAGAATTGCAGACTGCACAGATGGTACCTTCCCAAAGGAAAAAGTACTATAGCTTACTAGGGTATATTAGACTTAATAGTTACTATATACAGTAATGGACTTCTATATATTTTACATCAGATTAAAACTTTGGGTGTAAGATTCAGATAATTATTTATTAAAAGCTAGACATTTTAAATGAGAATAAGAAAGAAAAGTATGTCTTTGTGCCCCCTTTTCCCTGTTAATGCCCTATCGGCCCCCCTGGCTAAACTTTGCTAGATCCGCCCCTGCACAGTTACGTCAGCTACGTAGAAAAAGATCCTGGTGGATTACATTTTTATTTCTCTCCGATATCCGATCCAGTAATTTACGTCAGTATCGGACCGATACCGATACCTAATATCGGATCGGTCGATCTCTACCTAAAACATGAGATTTCAAAAACTGAAGCACAGCATACTAGGATATCAGATATGGATATTGCTGTTGGACACATGAACAATAACCATATGACTGTTCCCGCCACTAACACATGACCCTACGCTGTGTCTCTGCATCATTCCATGTTTGGCACCACCTGCACTCATGTATATATCTATCTACTTAGCACTTTTAATTCTTATTTTTATGTCTATTTAAGTGTTATATGACAGTATGTTTGCACTAAGTACCGCAGCAATTTCCTAATGTTGTAAACCTGCTCAACATTTGGCAATAAAACCCTTTCTGATTCTGATTAATGTTTCCATCTGATCCTTAAAACTGTATGATTTGACTGGAACAACACAAATTACAGGTTTTCTGGTCGAATCATTTAAAGCAACAAATAAAAGTTTTAGATGACGAAGCTGTCAATACAATTCCGTCATATTTTGTCAGTCCCGTTGGAGCAGCCTTTCAACGCCTCTCTCCGTCTCTCGCTAGCAAAGTTGACCCAGACAACAAAGTAAAGCTAGTTTTCAGCTACGAGCACGACACAAACCCGACGTATTAGCCAGAGGTCCCTTTACTACGGTTCGGAGCCGTGGACCTGTTTTATATACGCAAGGAATAGTTTTCTATACGAGATCGCTGCAAAAAGTGCAGCCTTACCTAATGTCCACCCTACTGTTACTCATTTTATATTAAGATTTAAAAATCTAGTTGGTATTGGTATGGCGAGTAGCCTTCAGTAATAGTAATAAATCACACAGCAATAGTACATTCATGTAGTTGTAAAAAGCATGATAATATATTAAGTAATCCAAAGTATTCAGAATACGTTACTCTCATTGAGTAACGTAACGGAATACGTTACAAAATACATTTTGGGGCATGTATTCTGTAATCTGTAGTGGAATACATTTTAAAAGTAACCTTCCTAACACTGTTAAAAACTTTATTTTTGAAAAAATGAATTCAGTCATTAATAGTTATGGTTAAACAAATGCTTGGCTTAACAAAATGTCTACCTACTGTTACTCATTTATATTATGATTTTAACATCTAGTTGGTATTGGTATGGCGAGTAGCCTTCAGTAATAGTAATAAATCACACAGCAATAGTACATTCATGTAGTTGTAAAGTATTCAGAATACATTACTTCTATAATCTTTGGTGGAATACATTTTAAAATTAACCTTCCCAACACTGTCAACAGGTTAGCACCTCATACCACAGTGCAGCAAAGCAGTCTCATGAGCGCTGGGAAGGACGAGCCCAGAGCCCAAAACAGACAGTGCAGGAGATGACAAGGTTAGTAATTGTATGGTGAAAATTATACTTTGTTATCTTGATTGGCAAAAGAAAAGTAAATACAAAATCTGCTTCTCACATATAGGGCATTTCCAAGATTTTTTTTTCAAAACTTCAATTTCTTTCATTACAGCTGTCCTGTGCCAGAAGTTCTGTTGACCCACAGTGAGAGGCATCATTTCAGAAACACCAGGAAGACTGAAACTCATCGCCGGGATCAAGCAGGGCTCGTGATCTTCACCAGCAGCTCCCTCACAAGAAGGATAAACCCAGCATTTCATGAACACTGATGGAGACCTTTGCTTTGTGTAATGTTAGAAGTACTCAGATAATCCTCAGAGGGTCTGGACTTTTACATAATATAATAGAATAGAATTCAACTTTGTTGTCATTGCACATGCACAGGTACAGGGCAATGAAATGCAGTTTGCATCCATCCAGAAGTGCTTTAGCCATGATATAGATATATTACAATATATATTAGCAATAATATAGATATGTAAGTATATTACAGAAATGGGTCTATTATGGTATGTTATAATGTACACGGTATGAAGTATGTTATGAATATTCTATAACTATAAGTATGTACAGGCTGTAGTGAGTACAAGCTATGTACAGGCTATGAACAGGATATAAATATGAAATAAAAAACTATACAGAAATCTGAGATATACAGTTATACAGAAATGTGAACTATGCAAGTTATAAACAGTTGTAGGATTAAAAATTAATATGTACAGAATGATTATTTACACAGAACTATACAGTAGTGCAGTTAAGTAATAGCTATAAGCTATAGTAATAGCTTTAAGTCCTGTAGAAAGTTAAATATATGTTGTGCTCACTGGTTACTCTGGTATGAATGACTCTGAATTACTTTATGATAAATAACACACTATTGTCAAAAAACAGTGAAAGAATTCCAGATCACAAGTTTTTAGTTCAAATACAAGTAACAACCTTTGACTTTAATCAGGTTTTATTTAATTGTGTCAGAGAAAACATCATGTGCTCTTCATGTAGCTGAGTACATTCAGTGTTTAAAACAGAAGTTGTGCAGGTCTGAGATCAGCAGTTTTCTGAAACACCAAACTGAGGTCCTGTTAATGCTGATGTATAGTGACACAGTTACAGGGGTGATTAATCCTTTTGACTTTTTGTCTTTAAATTTATCAATAAAACAGCTGCAGCTTTCACTGACAGCACATGTGGTACTTTAACCTTTGTACTGTTTTCTTCAGTTAATTTTGGAGTTACTACAAAGATTGAAGATATAGGATGATCTGTCTGCTGTCACTGGGTGGTGCTGAGGTCTGAATCTGAGGACAGCTCCTGTAATCACAAACAGAACAGAATCATCACAAACTGAAATATAAAGTTTATCTTCAAATCTGAAATAGAGCTGATCCTTCTCTGTCCTCACACACTCGGGATCTGAAGTTGTTCAGTCCTACAGTTCTGCCGACAGCTGACATATGAGCTGTTTATTTTTTATTTGTTTTAAAGGCCTTATATACTAACACATTTTCTAATATCATGTTTACCTTTGAGTTGTTGATACTTTATAAATGGACATCTGCAAAGATGAGATGATGGAGCTAGGTAGCTAGCTAAGGACCTAAATTACGGATTAGCTTACAAACACATTTAACTTACCAAAAATAATGCGGTGGGGCCTCAGGTCCTCCTGTCCGGTAGTCCAATTTACTGAAGAACACCTCAGGCTGTCACTTTGAAATAGTCGGTAATGTAAACGCTGGACCTCTCAGCATCTGCCATTCCCGAACAGACACGTGCAAGTTTGTCCGTGACCGCAGCCGCGTCGTCAGTGTTTTCTCCAGTCATTGGTCAGCATTATAATATATGCAAATACATGAAAAATCTGGATTGAAACCGAAAAAAAATAAATTTGTAAGCGAAAACAAAAAAATTACAGTTTCAATTAATTGTTTTTCACTATCAATTTTTTTTTCGGTTTCAATACAAGATTTTTCAGTACATTTATTTCAGTTACAATATTTTTTTTCGGTTTCAATCCATTATTCGGTTTCGTTTCAAGGTGGCATCGTTCTGATTCCATAGTCTTTCCCTTTTCACGTAAATGGCCTCTGTGTTGTGCCATCCAAGCAACATGGGAGAGTATTCCAGTGTGTACAGCTGATCTGGGACTGCAATCTTCGATTGCGCCTCTGGTGTCCACATCGGATGGGAGGTAAGCATGGGAGGAGGCGTTGGATTCGGGGGAGGGAGGGTGATAGTGAGGACGTATCAGTATCAGTGTAAATGTTTCATGCGTGTGCGTGTGTGTGTGTGTGTATCCCGTGTTCATCTGAGAGAAAGTGTCACCACACCCGGTTAAGCGAAGGTCAACAGTCTCTGTAGTGTTCTGTTGCAGAGTGTAGCAACTCTGGTTAAACACCAAGCTAAACCTCTCTCAATGAATACACGAGTCCGAGTAGAGGTGACTTTTTACTCAGAATCTTCATTTGACAAGCGGTGAAAACTGTGGTTGAAAAGACATAAATATTGTATCACGAAATAACTCAAAATATGACTTTACATCTTCGTGTTAGCTTGAGCAACAGTAATGATCATCAAAAGGAATGCCTCTTTTAACATGTACATATCAACCTCCATGAATCACAAATAAAATATAATTTTTAACAAATACCGCTATTTATGCCTTTTTAACACCTTCATCATGAAATATATACACTTACGGCGTTGCCTGAACGATGTTCCCAAGTGGATGGCTGTGGATAAGCCTCAGAGCAAAACCGCATGTCACTCTCCCTCTTAGAGCAACCAGGATGAGGAATTAAACAGGAAATGAAGCAATACAGGGAACCCACCAGGAAGTGAGGTTATTAGCAAGTTCACCTTCAATCTGTTAACATGTTTAACTCTTTTTACTGTTCTTTTTAACTTAAATACAAACAAATTAATTATTTTAAAGCAAACATTAAAGATAAATGACATAAATGCCTTTGAGGCATCACAGTATCCAGTGGATCCAGGTGGCCTTGAAGGAGGTACAAAGAATTCTGACAACAATCCTGTTATCATGGGAAGAATTTGTTGTTCCAGTCAGCTTCAACCTTGGTAGGCCTTCAGCTGGCGCCAGGGGGGCCGCATGAAGTGAATGTTTGGGTTTAGTGTGAACAACTTCATCCAATTTTTACAGTTGGTCTAATGTCCATCATGGCAATGTTCCCTCTAAGCTGCGTGCGTGCGCACTGCTGGCATGGTCTCTGCGCACAGAAAAAAAATCTAACCAGAATTGAAATTAAAATTAATACTTTAACAATTCTGTTTTGCAGTGTTAGTCAGTAAGTGACTGGCTGCTCCAGTATGGGATTAGAACGATGCCACCTTATCCCATAGTCCAGCCAATAATGCGATTCACATTTGTATATACGCAGCTAATCAACGTCGTTGACAGGCTATGACAGCGTCCTTATGTGCTGACACTGGTGTTTTAGCTAGCAAACCGGCTGATGAGGAGTGAAGCCACGTTAATGACAACGCGTACAACCATTGGAGATGTGAGCAGGACAGACGGAACAATTGACAGAAAAAGTGTGGACTTTATACCAGTTTTTAAATTGTGTTGATAGGCCACGTAAAACCAGAGTTATGATAAAAATATCTGCAATGTTTGGTTTTCTTCCTGAATACTATCGTTGTTTATATTTAGTGCGGGAAGAAATGGTAAAAACAGCATTTTATAAGGAAAACGCTCAAAAGCTTGTGAGCAAAAACAAAACCAAAAAAACCCCACCCTTTCCTATTGGTGGAAAAATGTACCATGCCAACCAATCCAAAAAATGATATGGCAACATTAGGGGTGCAACGATATTCGTATCGATATCGAACCGTTCGATACAGTGCTTTCAGTTCGGTACGCATATGTATCGAACAATACAACATTTGTAATTTATTTTATCAACTTTCCTTCTGACGATGCTGTCTGTGTTGAGCGCTCAGTGGATCTGCGCTCGACGGTGCAGCCTAGGCGGAGTAGTCGAACGCAGATTCAGTGAGCGCAGGGCAGAAGTTAAGCTCTCCTTGCAACATGGCAAATTGAACCTCCCCCACCCTCATTCAGATCTGGTGTTTGGAATTATTTTGGTTTTCATGTGACGTATGACCCTGAAGGTAAGCGCGTCATGGACAAAAGTAAAACAGTATGTTGGATGTGCCACGCAATGCTCAATTACATGGGTGGGAACTAGTGTGTTAGCGCAGTTAGCTCGTTAACGTGTTGGCCGTCCAGCCCCATGCACGGGGCGATCTGCGGTAGCTCGTTAACGGAGATTTGCCGTGTTGTGGCGTTAACGTCGTTTCAACGAGATTAACGCTGACAGCACTAGTGGGAACACAACGAATATGACTGCACATTTACGCCGACATCATCCTAGTGCAAAGACAAGTGGAAGCAGACAAAAACAACAAGCACGCATGCTACAAACTTTACCCGAGTCATTTAGACAGCCGTTAGCACACGATTCTCCTTATGGGGACCTGATATGTTTAATATGCTGCTGAGAATATAGCCCAGAAGAAGCGTATAGTATAGCTTTTATTTTGGAAAGAGCCATTTCTCTGTATTAAACTCTCTTTTCCAAAGATGAGTGATTCCTCGATCAGATAGATATTTTTTTTATCCATCCATCCATTCGCTTCCGCTTATCCTTTTCAGGGTTGCGGGGGGCGCTGGAGCCTATCCCAGCTGTCATAGGGCGATAGGCGGGGTACACCCTGGACAGGTCGCCAGTCTGTCGCAGGGCTAACACATAGGGACAGACAACCATTCACACTCACATTCACTCACACATTCACACCTAGTGGCAATTTGGATTATCCAATTAACCTATCCCCACAAGCATGTCTTTGGACGGTGGGAGGAAGCCGGAGTACCCAGAGAGAACCCACGCAAACATGGGGAGAACATGCAAACTCCACACAGAAAGACCCCGGCCTGATGGTGGAATTGAACTCTTGCTGTGAGGCAACAGTGCTAACCACCGTGCCACCGTGCTGCCCTTTTTATGACTTTGTTATTTCAGCAACATTAAATTTAAAAACTGTACTTTTGAGTTAAAATATATATTTATAATTTTAATAAATGACAAATTAAAAAGGCATGAACTTTTTTTTTGTATCGAAAAAATATCGAACCGTGGCACCAAAGTATCGAACCAAACCGAATTGTGAATTTTGTGTATTGTTGCACCCCTAGGCAACATGGTATTTTGTTGTTTAGGAAGGGGGAAGTTTTAGGAGTGACAGCGGTGTTTTGAGATGTGAGAGATTTGCGACGTTTAGCGCAAATCATGTGTAGTTAGTGTGTTTTGTTGTGTAGTTAGTGTGTAGTGTAGTCAATAGTTTTGTTGTGTGTGTCAGAACAATGAGGCGACTGCGTAATCTTACAGGTGTTACAGGAGTGATACATCTCCTGCTGTCAGGCCTGCAGGTATCAGGCTGTCGTTCTCCTTTATCTCATAGTGACAGAAATTATTTTTTGGAGGGGCACAAATAATTTGTGTGGCATCAAATTTGATGCAGAACAGCTGATTGTTTTGTAAATAGTTTGAAATGTTTATTTTAAAAAAAGCCTTGGCTGCATTTTTAGGTAAACAGCTGCAAAAACTTTGTTGTTTGCATAACTCAGTTACTTTTTTGAAGAAGTAACTATATAATTAATTGCCCAACATTGGTCATTATATACTGTATTTTGCAGACGGAGTTACAGGACTCTCTCCCAGACCACAGACTCGTGATCATAATACAAGTCAGAGCTTTATATAAAAAAGAAAAAAAAGAAAAAAAAAAGAAAGTTGTGTTTTCAAAATTCAAGTTATTTTTACTGTGTTAACATACTACACAGGTCATGAACAAGATTCTTTTTAAATTTTTGTTGTAAGTGGGCTAAAGCAGTTAATTAAAAGTAGCTAACATAAATGTAAACACTGTAATTTGATTATTTTAATAAACCATGTAACTTGATGCTGGCGTGACCACAGTGCACACGTCTGCTGCTGCTCACAGTGGTCCAAGAGACCGCTCAGGGAGTTTGTGTGTTCGCTCAGACACACGAAAAATTAGAGGGAACATTGATGACTGGTCACCAATTATCTCAATTCCCGTTGTTCTTCTCCAAGATGTTATCCATATTGCAGAGCCATGAGTTTCTCCAAGATCGCATCCATATTGCGTTCAAAACACAGTCCGAGTACTCACAGCCCTGCCTATCATGTCGGCCAGCCTTGTGGGATTTTGAACAGCTATAGCCACTTCTTGTTCTTTGATAAGCCAGATCCGAGCCAGCTCCAATCAGCCAGAACTCTGTTATCGTGGTTCCAAATTGATAGATGTTGTTCATTGTCCTCCATCGAGAGTGTCGCCAGACACACAACGCAACCGACCATCGAGTATCTAGCAGCAAACGTCTCCGCAGGACAATCTGGCTCTCCCAAGCCCAGCAAGGTGTCAATTCCGTTACGGGAACAGTTGATCAAATCCATAATTCTTTAGGTTTTAGAGAACAAGACTGAGAAACTCTTTGAGGGTTAGAGTTAGAAGAGACTAGACTAACAGACAGAAGCAGCAGCCGGGAAGATAAGGGAGGGAGAGGGGAAAGATGCGTCCGCCTCCTCTGAGAGTCAAAGAGGGTAATGTGTAGAAAGGTTTGAATCAATGTCTTAGTTATTTACAATACAGTGTGTACAAAGTCAAAATGGCAGCAATAGGTAGCAAACTGTATGACTGATGAAGAACTGGACAGAATTCAGACAAGAGGAAGGCTAGCAGTGGAGAAAGTGGGTGAAACATGGGAAAAAATAGGTAAAAATCCTAGCGGCCACCAGTGCTTCTCCTCAACCTTTGCTTAATGTAAGCCAATGATTTGATCTTTCTAAATGGAGTAAGACATTTCCACAACCACAGGATGTATGTTTTCCATTGTGATTGTTTAATGAGAAGCACCGTATTATTTAGGGTTCAATAGCCCAATTAAAACCAATCAATCATAGCAATAATTCTCCAATGGGAGATCATTTGTTTAGTTACAGTAGATCTAGGTTGGTACTTTTCTTGTCAGGCAGTGCATTTTTGTTTAAATTGGAAGTAAATAATAAAAATGTCAGAAAGTAGCATTTATAGTACATTATATTATAATGCATAATACACAATACATTAACTGTTAGTAAGATTTAAAAAGCCAGGTAACCTATGAGTATGCCTCATTTAAATATTACTATGTATATTCCTTTTTATGTATTTGGGGTTTTTTTCTGTTTTGTTAAAGGAATCTCTGGCATCATAAAAGTGACTTGTGATTAAACAACGTGACAATGAAAGCCCTGCTCTGGAAAACCCAGAGTAGGACTTTTAATCAAATTATATATCCTTCTTAAAATATCTGCTAGATTCAGTAAAAAAAATCAGTTTGTGATTTTGCAGGCAGGATCCCCTCAACATTACACCAGCACCACCACCAATATTATTGGATGATTGAGGCACCCAGAGTGACCTGTGGGATTAAGATCCCATCACCCCCCTCAAATCCCCCCCGGAGTCAAACCCGTGGGCTTGTTATCGCTGGCCTAATTGGAAACCGCATTGCACAAATGCTCTAGCCACAGCGGGACTGACTGTAGGTCTGCCTGGCACTTGTATTCTTAATTAAAAAAGAAAAGGCAGACATTCACTCAGGAGGATTACCCCCTAAGTTTACATATCTTAAGGAGCCAAATTCAGTCAAAAGGATTAAAAATTTGATGGCATGGCTTGTCTCGAAAAATTATACTTAGGATCAGTTAAGAAAAAAACCTCATCAGGTCTTAGAGCTGGCCTAAATATGACCAAATGGAAGGCTTTGGTGACCATGGATTCAAAGAGGATGAGATCCCTCCAAGCAAGCTGTTCCTACAGCCTTCGAGAAAAAAATGCATACAGTCTGATTGTTAATGATTAATAAAAATATTCATTGGTTAAACGTTATAAAGTCATAGATCTGTCAATAGATCCAACAAACACATTCAAATATTTGTAAATACAACTCTTGCGAACATGTAAAAAAAAGCTAAGACTGCAGAAAAATAAGCAAACCAATTACAAATAATCAACAGATCTGAGAAAATTATAGCAGATTTAAAACCATTCCTAAATGCTATATGCTATAAATGTGATTTCCCAGATGACGAATGCTAAATGTGCAAATGATTATATTTTCATGTTTTTGAGAAATCTCCTTTATACAGAGCCAGACTGAATTGACTTCTGTGACTTTGGTACTAGAAAAAAGCATTAGATCACAGGGCATGTTTACTTACAAGTCTAAGCTTCAAAATGTTTTACATTTGTAAGTGACTGTCTAGACCCACAGTTTGCTAATAAGCTGCCATAAGTTAACTGCAGATCTGACATGTAATAATAAGAACATGCAATATTAAAAAGCTAGATTTGTTGCCTGGGCATGTAAAGTAGATGCTAACATAAACAAGTAAACCTGTCCTCAATGTTAGTCTTCAAACTTACTTAATGTAGCAGATAAGACAAAAAATATTCCAGTACTGTTTTCAGACATTGCTGATGTAGAGAAAATGGAGAAAACGTACAAATCTGATGTTATTTGAACGCTGTCTTTTTCCATAGAGTCACAAGCAATGAACCGTTTTATGTTATTATGTTATGTTATTTGTACTCATTTACTTAAAGACACTTGAAAAAAAAAGTTGTATTCTTTTAAGATAAATCATCTCTACGAAACTCCTAAGTGCAGTCAAGGTTCCACTGTTAACAGTGGAATTCTAGCAGTTATATCCTGCCTCCAGTCTTTGTCCTAGCTTTTATTTATGCACAGAAGTAAAACTGGTATTGATTATATCTGTTATATTTGTTGATTACATTTTACATCTGATTACACCTCAAAAAAACCTGTATGTTAACACCAGACAAAACAAGACAGAAAGACTCAGCATAATGAGTGATTGGGTTTTTAGTGTAAAAGAGTAGAAAAGATATGTCTACCATCTGGTGAGTGCGTATTCCAGCTTCTGGAGTTAGTTAGCGGAGATGGCCTATTTAGCATGCTAGCTAAGTAAGGTGTTAATGCAGGCACAGCAGACACCAGAAGGCAGCACATAGTAATGGTTTGTTACTATGAACAAAGATCCTCAAACTTCACAAATGACAATTCTAGGAAAGGATTACTTAAGGAACGCAACAGCAGAAACGGCACACTAGAAACCAAGTTAATAACTGAGGTTAACAAGCTCTACAATTTAGAAATTCAGAGCTGGTGAGCTATTGCACCTTTCCTGTAATCGTTAGACATTGTATCTTACTCATAGAATGTTTTAACAGGTTTGATAAACATTTAAAATAAGAATTACATTCAAACGAAGCATTTAAATGCAAATATAACAAACAAACAAACAAGCTTACATATTCACAGTTCCTGTCTGAAGACTTACCTTCTTTCTCTAAGTTTTTCAATGTATTCAAACTTTGGAGTAAGTTTTCCATTAGAGGCGATGACAGCCTTTAGGAATAAATCAGAACATCCAAACCAGACATGAATTTCACTTATTTGCAGAAAGAGTCAAATAAACATCCGTTACATACACATATCTAATCCAAATAAATACACATATCTAATCCAAATAAATAAATGTATGTTATCAACATACATTTATGTTATTGAATTAGAAAATGAAGTAAAACACTCAACTAAACATAGCATCATGCCTTTGTAACAAATAAAGTGAGATACTTCTCTCAACCAACATTTCACTACTTACATCTCTGACTTGTGGGCTAAATTCTTCTTCGTCCAATGGTCTGGTTGAATCTGAAGGTAGCTGGTAATGACATATAATTTACTCAAAAAAAAAAAAGAAAAAAAAAAAAGAAACACTATGTGAAACATGTTATAGCCCTCTCCCATACTTGATCAGAAAACACCACCAAATGCACTGGAAAATTGGTGGCATCAAATCAGACGTCTTACCATCTCCCAGATGTAGGGGAAGAGACGGTCACCAAAATACTCTGTGGCTTCGATTGGCAGCTGAGCAGGAAGGTTGTCAATGGAGCACATGAGAATCCCGTTTCCCTCCACGCTGCCGGGACCACAAATAAAACCAAATCAAATGTTAACATTCAGGCATTTTACTCTTTCAAAAAAACAAAAAAACAAAAACAGTAGCACGTATACAATTTGATTGCAGTCTCAAAGAAGTTAGGAGGGGACAACAAAAGGCTGAAAAAGCAAGCAGCACTAAAAAGAAACAGCTTTGTGTCTATTTAGGTTGACTGTCAATAGATCTGTAACATGAGGAGGGTATAAAAAATGTTAATTTTAGTAGATTAACAAGTAAAGATGGGCAGTAAAGATTGTATTAAAAGCATTCATGATTCTGTTATTGGTTGCACATCTGGAAAGGCAACATCAGTGCTGAAATGTATGTAGCAATTTTAGAGAGACATACAGTGGGGCAAAAAAGTATTTAGTCAGCCACCGATTGTGCAAGTTCCCCCACTTAAAATGATGACAGAGGTCAGTAATTTGCACCAGAGGTACACTTCAACTGTGAGAGACAGAATGTGAAAAAAAAATCCATGAATTCACATGGTAGGATTTGTAAAGAATTTATTCGTAAATTAGGGTGGAAAATAAGTATTTGGTCACCTCAAACAAGGAAAATCTCTGGCTCTCACAGACCTGTAACGTCTTCTGTAAGAAGCTTTTCTGTCCCCCACTCGTTACCTGTATGAATGGCACCTGTTTGAACTCATCATCTGTATAAAAGACACCTGTCCACAGCCTCAAACAGTCAGACTCCAAACTCCGCCATGGCCAAGACCAAAGAGCTTTCGAAGGACACCAGGAAAAGTATTGTAGACCTGCACCAGACTGGGAAGAGTGAATCTACAATAGGCAAGCAGCTTGGTGTGAAAAAATCAACTGTGGGAGCAATCATCAGAAAATGGAAGACATACAAGACCACTGATAATCTCCCTCGATCTGGGGCTCCACGCAAGATCTCATCCCGTGGGGTCAAAATGATCATGAGAACGGTGAGCAAAGATCCCAGAACCACACGGGGGGACCTGGTGAATGACCTGCAGAGAGCTGGGACCAAAGTAACAAAGGTCACCATCAGTAACACACTACAACGGCAGGGAATCAAATCCCGCAGTGCCAGACGTGTTCCGCTGCTGAAGCCAGTGCATGTCCAGGCCCGTCTGAAGTTTGCCAGAGAGCACATGGATGATACAGCAGAGGATTGGGAGAATGTCATGTGGTCAGATGAAACCAAAGTAGAACTTTTTGGTATAAACTCAACTCGTCGTGTTTGGAGGAAGAAGAATACTGAGTTGCATCCCAAGAACACCATACCTACTGTGAAGCATGGGGGTGGAAACATCATGCTATGGGGCTGTTTTTCTGCCAAGGGGACAGGACGACTGATCCGTGTTAAGGACAGAATGAATGGGGCCATGTATCGTGAGATTTTGAGCCAAAACCTCCTTCCATCAGTGAGAACTTTGAAGATGAAACGAGGCTGGGTCTTCCAACATGACAATGATCCAAAACACACCGCCCGGGCAACAAAGGAGTGGCTCCGTAAGAAGCATTTGAAAGTCCTGGAGTGGCCTAGCCAGTCTCCAGACCTCAACCCCATAGAAAATCTGTGGCGGGAGTTGAAAGTCCGTGTTGCTCGGCGACAGCCCCAAAACATCACTGCTCTCGAGAAGATCTGCATGGAGGAATGGGCCAAAATACCAGCTACTGTGTGTGCAAACCTGGTAAAGACCTATAGTAAACGTTTGACCTCTGTTATTGCCAACAAAGGTTATGTTACAAAGTATTGAGTTGTATTTTTGTTATTGACCAAATACTTATTTTCCACCCTGATTTACGAATAAATTCTTTACAAATCCTACCATGTGGATTCATGGATTTTTTTTTCACATTCTGTCTCTCACAGTTGAAGTGTACCTCTGGTGCAAATTACTGACCTCTGTCATCATTTTAAGTGGGGGAACTTGCACAATCGGTGGCTGACTAAATACTTTTTTGCCCCACTGTATGCTCCCATCCAGAAGAAACTGTTTTCAGGGAAGGCCTTGCTTATTTCAGAAAGACAATACTTTTGAGTGGGCCCATTTCCATATGGAAGCAAAAAAAAAACCTGGACATACTGAAGTCAACTTTTAACTTTGGAACATTTAGAAACATAAAACAGAAACTAACAGGGCTACTTTTCTGTATCAACTTGTGTATTGCTTAATTGTAAAACCACTGAAAGACAAAATTTGTTGATGTTTTCTTTATTTACCTGTTCACCTTTGCAGTTATATTGGGCTCTTATTTATGATTTTCCAATATGACAAAAGTACAGAAAAATATAACTCGAATTGCGACTACAAACACTGCCATTGTGAAACCGGTTGCGCCACGCAGTGGCAAACCAGTTGGATGCAGGAAAATGTATAATCTATGGGCACAAACAAAAAAATACTACCATGTGAAACCCAAAAAACAAAACAAACAAAAACAGAATAAAATAAATACATAAATAAAAGGGGGGGCTGCATTGTGCGCAGTTCTTTTTGGCTTGCTACAGATAGTAGGTGGCTTTAAAGAAAGAAAGAGAAAAAACCCCAAACACAGATAAAAGCAGTAAATGACAACTTCTCCACATATTCAACAAAGGATGACCAGGTTTTGTAGTATTTACTTTGAGACCCTCTCAAACTGTATCTCAAATACTCTATCTGCAAGCACCTCATCACCTCTCTCACCCAAGACTGCTGTCATCGGATTAGGATCAATTGTTTTCCCACACACATATGAAAGAGCTTTAAAAACTAATTCCCAGAACCGGTTCAAATCAGAGCAGGTCCAGAACATATGGTTAATATCGGCGGGTGATTGCTTGCACCTCGGACATCTATCATCAGAGGCATTGTATATTTTGGCTAGTTTAGCTTTGGTTAGGTACGCCCGGTAAAGAATTTTAAACTGTATTATACAGTGCCGTATACAGATTGAGGATTCACGGATCTTGCTAACACTAAGATCCCATAGGTCGTCTGGGATCTGGAGGTTTAAGTCCAGCAATCTTCTCGGCATCTAGTGAGACTATTAGTGATCAACTGAATGGTCAGAATATAGGATATTTAACAGCCGTCTGATATTGAAATATGACTGGCAGTTCACTATAAAGCCTGTTTGGTCCTCATGTATAATAGAAGGTACTACCTTCTCAATACAAAGTGCAAGAGCTTTTGGGAGGATCTTATAATCCACATTCAGTAGACTAATGGGCGATAGGATCCACATTTTTGAGGATCCTTGTCTTTTTTGAGTATTACAGAGATTGTGGCTTGGGGCAGAGTTTGTGGCAACGTGCTTGTTGCCTGAATTTCTGAAAAAACCTCAGACAGTAAAGAAACTAACTTGCCGGCAAAGCGTTTATAGAAATCACACAAGAAGCCATCTGGGCCCGGTGCCTTGCCATTTTGCAAAGAATTAACTGCCTGCAATATTTCCGCAGAGGTAATAGGTCTTTTCAGTAGCTCACGTTGGTCTGGGTTAATAGTGGGAGTATCTATGTTCCTCAAGAAGGAATCCAAGTCAGCCTCTGAATAATCAGTGCGGGAAGTATAGAGATCCTGATAAAATAGCTTGAAAGCAGCATTAATTCCGTCAGGGTGTGTTACCACCTGACCGGAGTCTAACTGTATGTTGGGTGTAGATTGAGCTGTGGCGGATTGACAAAGCTGATGCGAAAGATATCTACTTGCTTTTTCACCATGCTCGTATACATGATGTCTTGATCTAGGTAGGAGCTTCTCAGTTTCTTTAATTGAGAGAGTGTCAAATTCAGACTGCAGCAGTACCTTCTGCTTATATAAATCAGCTCCCGAAGCCGTTCGTTTCGCTTTTTATTCTTATAAGACGAAAAAGAAATAATTTGGCCCCACAGATATGCTTTTAGCAACTCCCAAATTATAGATTTTGAAACATCTGGAGTGTTATTTGTTTCTAGAAAAAGCTCGATGTGGTGTACTATGAACTTGCAAAACTCCTCATCTGACAATAATGCTGAGTCAAATTTCCAGAACCGCTGCCTTGCTCATACGTTTGGAAATGCGATATCAACCTGCAATGGTGCATGATCAGAAATTACAATTGCATTGTATTTACACATGGTGACCCTTGGGATAAGGAAATTATCCAGACGAAAATAATCAATCCTGGAATACGAATGATGCACAGGGGTGAAGAAGGAATAGTATTTTGCTAAGGGCTCAGTGATACACAGTGGATCTGAAATGCCATAGTTTTGAAGAAATGTCTACAGCATTTAAATTCTATGTATATCGTTCATGGACGATTTAAAATCTTCAAATCTACAATTTCACACGTGCTACACCTTAAGTTTTTGCTAATGCAATCATGCTTTTAATAATTTAAAAAAATATTTCAGACTGAAAACTAAATTAAATTCAATTTCAATTACATTTTATTTAGCACCAAATCACAACAACGGTTGCTTTAAGGCACTAAAGGGAGCAGATTTCTTGCAATGCTACTAAATTATCTGCCTGGAGAAAATCAGTTTGCTGTAGAGCTGGGCGATATAAGATTTTTTCATATCACAATATGTTTTTTTTTTTCATTTCAGGCGATAACGATATCTATCACGATATAAACCAAATAACTATATTTGTAAGATTTAAATGTGCCGTTGCTCACAAGTAAAATGTGAAATAATCAGCAGCTTGTTTTGATTTAAATATCTATTTCCCATAATAAGTTCAACAGGGTAGATGTACTTAAGGAACATGAGACTTTTTCAGATAAATAAAGGCAAATATTGCAAACTACACAAAAGGCAGCCGCTACAGCGTTTAAGTTTCAAACAAAACAGACTACTAAATTTTCAATTCAACTTAGAAACAAAATATTAATTCTAAAAAGAAATCTTAGTTTGTTTTACAGAAGAACAGACAAAACTAACTTTTGTCAATATCAAATACTCTGAAAACTAAAAGGAAATTCTCCATCTCTCCTTGTTGTATAGCTGAGCTTTTCAAACAGTTTTAA